TTGTTTTGCTCGCTTAATGGGCTTCTTCTCGAACACTGTCTTACGTAAGGTACTAATAAATAAATTACCCAAACTGATGCGCTTCTTATGAGGTTTCCTTTATGCTGTTGATGGTAGTTTATTATCTCTCCTGAGTTGCATATGTAAAAACAGCCAACTGATTATTAGATTTTACGGATTCTGTGTAACGTATTCATAAGAAACACGCAAATGTTCCCTGTAATGTTAACAGCTCTTTTACGTCTAGTTACTGCTTATTGGAACTGAGTCTTCACCACTAGAAAGCCCGTGACATTACTCTTTGTAATTTCCTTCACTTGTTTATAGTTCTTTTTTCACAATGACCTTTAGCGAATAAGGAAATGCCCAATATTTGCTTATCCGTCGCAAAGATAAACGACGAAAAACACATGCCGCTCATGTCTGCGTCCGTCTGTCTGCGTACTGCGAGTCAAAAAGTTTTCCACTGTACTGGCGAAATAGTCGTCTGAATCTCTGTGCTCCAATAAAAAGCTATGCCCTGTTAGTTATTACGACCCGTTTGAGCTCTTAAAATTTTACCCCTGAATTCCTGAGTGCTGAGTTATTTTTAAAGCAGTCCATGGTCCAACATTCAGTAGAAGTTTCTAAAACCGTACAAGCTCTAAGATAGCTGTCAAGTTTGCGATGGCAATCGCATGGTATTCGCGAGCAGTACATGGCGCGATTCTGACACCCTATCAGATTAGCGCAAGGGATCAACCGTCCGTTGGACAAATTCCAAAATTTTACGACCCCCTTCGGCCTTGATACGACCCCCCAGTACCAGTTGACACAGCCCAACTTCACCCACATTTCCTCCAAGAATAGCCGTCGAGCGGGGGGGGGGGGTATATCAACAGTGAAACGGCAATTTTTTTCTTAGCACTCACAAAGCGTAAAGCGTCACACTACGACCCCCGTTGGTGTGGGATTGACGCTGCCTCCGACCTTGCGAATACGACCCCCCTTTTCGTCGGCCGTCCTGCAGAGTACGACCCCCTCGTTGGACTTTGTCCAACGGACGGTTGACCCTGGATTAGCGCCAGGGCATCCTTTTGAACGAATGCGCGCCATTCTCAAACTCCTGGTAGGAAAACGCTTCCATATTGACGTCTTAATACTACTGGCCGAAGGTTCAATACGGGGAAGGACGGACTTCTTAGCTACAACACTTGGTGGAGGGGAGGCAGCTTCCACTTGACCGAGAATAGTATCCTTATCACGAGCGAAGTTCAAATAGCATCTTTCGGCTCCTTCAACCCCACCATTTGCAACAATTGCTCTCTTAGAGCTCAAGAAACTTCCAATTTGAGAACCTTGTCACAGAATTGATTTCAAGGCTATTTCGCTTTTTTGAGCTATCAGGTGCTCAAGTGTACTAGAAACCCAACCCCAATGGATAACCGTTTCTATGGGAACTCTACCTGATTTCGCCAGTATTCGCTTCTTTCTTAGTACTTAGCTGTATCACTTGAGGCTTTTGCCTACTTATTACTCTTAATATGGAAGGCGGCCGCCAGAAATTCCTTCTTGTTCAATTTTATTAAATTCCACTGAGTCCCAGCTTACTACCGTGAATGCACCATAGCACGATAGAAAAGTACGTGTATGATGAGGATGTGTTGAAAAGATAGCACTTCAGGCCATACCGGCCGTGTATTTAATCAGCCGACAGCAGCGCCGCGCGATACAATGCAGGACAAGCTCTTTCTACACAATGTAAGATCACATGGGGCGTTGAGGCCCTCTGAGAGCCCTCATGCAGCGTGCGCTAAGCTCAGTTCCATGGTGCACGCCCGAGCGCTCAGTGATTTGAATAGGACATTAAGGCCTCACCACCCTCATTAATCCAAGCCTTGAAGTCTATACCCGCTTCACTGTGCTTACCGCCCTTGATCAGCCGGAATCGCCTCCGAGTCTGGGACAGCCTCAATATGACCTCTTTCAGATCTCAGTACTACAATGAGCATCAGAACTACCACCACTTTACCGGAATCGGTAGAAACCTTTCGTCTACCGACAATCTTGGCCACTTTGCCAATTCATATATTCACAGCTGTATTCATCACTATCGTCATGGTCAGCATTTTGCTGACCAGACATCTACAGCCACGTCCTCGAACTCTTCTCGCAATCAACTGCGGATTTTTTGTGGTCGCTTCATTTTATGATCTTGCATTTGATATCAGCTACTTGAGTATCGTTGACAGACAACAGGTATGGATCCTAATCGACTTAGTGATCAATCAATATGACCACTTCACTTCTATACAGCTTTTATCCAGCTCCATCCAATCCTGTTACAGATTAGCGTACAGGAATGCTCCGCTATTCGAAACTTCGTTTACAATCCTATTGCCACTCAGGCTTTCGTTGACGCTCTTGAGCGATTTCTTATGGCATTCTTCAACTATGACATGCCCATATCCATGTCAGTTTTTCCAAGTTTTCAAAGAACGCATGAGCACTCCGGAAGGGATCCTGAGAGGCTGCTCAAAAGTTCAGTACCTCAGGATACCGCATTTTCCTTCTGCAATTTGATCAGAACGTTTCAGTTTTGAATTTTTCAATGATTTTTCTTTCAGTGTTTTCATTCTCTATTGTCTATTCCCTTTGTTTTGTGTCGCAATGGCTATCTATAACACATTCATTTCATCAAGTCTACTGCAGACTGACGACATTTGTTCTACAGTACGACGCACAAGCTGGACTAATATCGCGCTCATTCTTATACAATGGTATATTTACTTCAAATTCATAGCCCTAAAGCGCTGGCCATTGAAATCGCCAAAAGTAATTACCATTTGCATCCGGTAGACAGGTGCACCTGCATTGCAGGGTTACCACCATACCATACGGCATAAAATTATCACTAGCACCAGCAATCATGCGAAATTGATTTTTTCAAGACCATTCTAGTTCTACATATTACTGCCATTCTACAACGTCAGTGGATCACGAATCAGAGACCTCAAAAAAATCAATGCCAAGCGCGATTTTTGGTGCGTTTTCCTCAATACCGTATATCATGTGCTGAGTCTGCATTTCAGACACTTGGTGGCTGTGAAAAAAAGAGTAAATGAGCCCTCGTTGTACCCAGAAGGTCTCTATTGGATTATGAGACTGACGTGTTCGACGCAGCAGAGTGCTTAGCAAATATGAACCCTTCAGAATGCGCCACGCACTCGACCTCCGCTAAGAATTGTAACGTCCCATTGAGCATCCTTGGGCGGCCTATACGGTAATTAGTGAACGTTTGTAGAGTGAATGAGTGGTTTATTCGACTGGATAAATCTGAAACCACAACCACAACAATCTCACGAATATAACGGGTTTGCTTGACCTTTGACAGTCTCATCTTACCCAATGCGTCATGTTAGCCCATTCGACTTTAGCTCGGTATAATATGACATAAATATGACGAAGATAGAGGCCTACTTGTGATTCATTCATGAATGAAATTAATGAGAGCTAATGTTAAAGAGCAATTTGCTTCATCAGCTACGATAAAGAAAAGGAAGCCTTTTTTGAAGGCATCATTTCGTCGTATGCACATATGAAACGCATGGCTGAGAAAGCATCTTTCCGAGATTCTCAAGATCGACGCGGATGCGAACCAATAACTTTATGCATGGTACGCGCTGAAGCAGCCGAGCATCCGTACTAGTTTAAATGCACAATCCAGGGAGAAGTCGTGTAAACAATTCCTTTCGATCAATAGGACAGACCAAGCCCTAGAGGAAATTCAAGATGTGGCACTCCTTCGCATGAAAATGGCCCGACAAGTGCACTAGAGCTCTGCAAAGACGAGGACTGTACACGAGCAGATAAATGCCCTGCTGAGTCTGTCTGCTTCTCGCTCTGAATTGCAGGAGCAACTCTAATAAAGAACGAGCGAGAAGTTTCTTAACGAACAACTCGATCTATATGAGAATGCAGATTTTCCAGGGGTTCAGCGATTGTCGCTTCCATTTTGTACGTGGCTATTTGGAGCAAAGTTCGGCACCAACGCAAAGTAGAAATAACGTCAACTAGCAACACTGAACACGACCCAGCAAAGATGGTACGTTTCACTTCAAAACATGGAGGAGTCTCTTTCCGACCAGCTCCACCTATTTCTTGACCAGTACATCAAATAGTTCGGGGCCTCAGGATTATCACAGAACTGCTGCTCCCCAAATCTTCTCCATTTCCAAACTTGTATGTCTGGATTTGTTTGCTTTCCATTTTAACCTCCAGACTACAACGACGAATAGTAAACCTGATGAACCCCTAGCATTTTAGCTGAGGCCGTACTCATTTCCCGTTGAGAATTATGAGACCACTTCGATATGGAGCAGGCCTTGTTACAGTTCGAAAAAGCCATCGATGCTACATAGGGGAAAATCAGATTAGCGTACACATGAAGCTTGGCTTAGCTGGGTGATGATGCGGGAAGAGGAGGGGCAAAAAAACCCTTCCGCGCACATCACCAAACTTTTCGTCGAGCAGAGTATCGCTGGTGGAAGTTTTACCGCCAAATATTCCTCAGATGTCCTCCCCCCTCTCATAAACAGAAGTAGGCCCTTCTTCACTGCCT